ATAAAAAAAAAAAAAAAAAAAAAAAAAACTAAACATACTCTTACCATTACGATCCAGCAATAGTATTCCTTGGTATTTAGCCACAGGAGCTGAAAACTTATGTCCACACTAAAACCTGAGCATGGATGTTTATAGCAGCTTTATTCAAAATTGCCAAAACTTGGAAGCAACCAAGCTGTCCTTCAGTAGGTGAGTGGATAAAGTAACTGTGGCACATCCAGACAATGGACTATTATTTAGCACTAAAAGGAAATGAGCTATCAAGCCATGAAAAGACATGGAGGAAGCCTAAATGCATATTACTAAGTGAAAGAAGCCAATCTGAAAAGGTTACGTAATGTATGATTCCAACTATATGACATTCTGGAAAAGGCAAAACCACGGAGACAGTAAAAAAAGCAGTGGTTGCCAGGAGTTGGGAAGAAAGAGGGATGAACAGGCAGAATACAGAGGAATTTTAGGGCAGTGAAAATATTCTATACGATATTATAATGATGGATACATGTCATGATACATTTGTCCAAATCTACAGAAAGTACAACACCCAGAATGAACCCTAATGTGAACTAGGGACTTTGAGTGGTACTGATGTGTTAATGTAGGTTCATCGATTGTAACAAATGTACTACTCTGGTGCAGGATGTGATAGTGGTGGAGGCTATGCATGCGTGGGGGCAGAAAGTATATGGGAAATCTCTGTACTTTCTGCTCAATTTTGCAATGAACCTAAAACTGCTCTGAAAACTAAAATCTATTAAGGGAGGGGGACGGAGTTCGCAGATGTGACTAAATTAAGGATCATGAGATGGGGAGATTATCCTGGATTATCAGGGCAGGCCCAATGTAATCAAAAGGGTCTTTATAAGAAGGAGGCAAAGGGATCCAAGTCAGAGAGAGAAGATGTAAGACAGATGCAGAGGTCACAAGGAGAGAAGATCCTACACTGCTGGCTTTGAAAACAGAGGAAGGGGTCACAAACCAAGGAATGCAAGCACCTTCCAGAAGTTGGAAAGGCAAGGAAATGGATTCTCACCTAGAGCCTCCAGAAGGAATGCCTACCAACACCTGGATTTTAGCCCAGTGAAACTGATTTAAAACTTCAGACTTCTAGAACTATAAGAGAAATTTGTGTTGTTTTAAGCCACTAAGTTTGTGGTACTTTGTTACAGCAGCAAAAAGACCATGAGACAATACAAAGACCACGAGACATCTAAGAGGAGATTTCAAGAAGGCACTGCTTAGAACTATGGCACAAATGTGGCTCTGAGCTTCCTAGCAGCCAATGCAAAGAGGAGGAATACAATCTGGCATACATTACATTGTCTCCCAAAGATAAAAACAAGGCATTTGCCTGTGAGAAATTTCTCCCATGAATCTTTATAAGGAAAACACTGTGTGATACAATGAACAATGTTTCCACAAACAGTCCATAAATACCAGTGAGATGACGATCTCTGCCTTCAAATGGTTTAACAACCTAGGAGCAGAAAAAGGCATATGCCCAGGGAATTCCAATACAGAGATGGGTGAAATGTTTTGGAAGCACCAAAAGAGAGAAAAGAAAGAAATAATACTGTTTTTCTTATCAGTTATATCCAAAATAGTGTGCTCCTGACAACTAGGTTAGCACATGAGCCTCTTCCACCAGTTGGCCCAGGAAAGAACGGCTCTTAGAGAACAGCACAAGTGATGGCTGTGTGGCAAACCCCAAAAGAGTGTCACCTGCAAGAAAAAAATGGTTTATACTCTCTTACTTTGAGTCTGGCCTGTCTAGACAATGACTCCACTTTCCAGGCTACGTGACCTCTGAGGTCTGTATTATATTAGATGTTTCAGATTGAACCATATGAAATTACTGATATTCAACCTTTGTTTTATCTGAAAAAAGAGAATTTTCATATGTTTCACCTAATTGTTGGATTCTAAACTAATATCAATAATATAAAATGCTTTGACTGATATATCTATATAATATTGTGTTACTTGGATAATTGTTTTCTAGTTACTAAGTATCTTACTACAGATAATTGTGGAAAATATAAGCAAGAAAAAAACTATCCATGACCTCAACACCCGGAGAGGACCTCTGCTAACAAGTTTGGCATAGATATTTTTTATTTACAAATATATGCGTACTTTTTCCTTTAAAGAAATGGGATTTGAGGGCCAGCCTGGTGGCACAAGCGGTTAAGTGCGCACGCTTCACTACGGCGGCCTGGGGTTCGCCAGTTCAGATCCCAGGTGCGCAGTGACGCACCACTTGGCAAGCCATGCTGTGGCGGTGTCCCATATAAAGTGGAGGAAGATGGGCACGGATGTTAGCCCAGGGCCTGTCTTCCTCAGCAAAAAAAAAAGAGCAGGATTGGCAGATGTTGGCACAGGGCTGATCTTCCTCCCAAAAATAAAAAGGAAAAAAGAAATGGGATTTGAAAATG